TAAAGATAACAGGACTATTCATGCACGGATTAATTATATAAATATGTGAGGGTGTAATGAAAAGATTTGTTTCAACCTATTTCCCAAAATTTGACCAAATGATCAAATATATTTTTTTGATGAAAAGCTTCTTTGTCAGGCCAAGAAGTTTTCAGCACCTCCTGTATATTTTCAAATCTTTTTCTTTTTTAATGCTGTCTTTTTCAGTACATAGGTATTCGTGGTTCTCCACAGATTTTTATGAATCATTGTAACTTCTTGGAAAGATGATAGAGCATTTTTCTGTTGCCTTCTCTACTGTTTGAATTCAGAAAAGTTCTTCTTGAGAGAGTGTAATGCCTTTCCCAAGGGTGTTAGTGACTAGACCTGAATTAGAACTTTAGAAATTTCACTTTCTGACTTAATAACAACTATGTTACTACGATTTTTTAAAATTTATTTTAACCATGTGTAATCACATTGAGTTTTTGAATTTTTGTGTCTCCCAAATTATTTTATGTCTATATTTCTGAGATGAGATATTGTAACTATTTACACTGTCCACCTCATTTGGACTGTTATACTCATTTTTATTGCCATATTCACAACATTTCGTTCATTGTATGATCTGGCCTTCTTCAGGCAATATACATTAGAATTTTGAACTAAAGCATTTATTTAGTCCACAGGGGTAGATTGTTCTAATTCTATGTCCCATGCCTTTTTTGGATATCTCAGTTTCATTTAATTCCTTTTTAGTAACTCAACTCTCCAAATTTTTGTTCCCTCTGCTGTGGCCAGATATTGAATACACAACTCTTCGGGTTTGAATTTCCAACGTATATCACTTGAAGAAGGTTGGAGTATACAACAGCTGAAACATCATAAATAGGACAATAAAGATGAGGACAATAGTCCCAATGATGTAGATAGTGTAAATTATTTTATTCTTATTAATTTTTTTCATAAACATTTGTCTCATTAAATAAAAGCCATATTTTATTTTGCCTTGTAGTTAACTTTATTCTTGATAACAATTCTATCAACTTTTGAAGCGGTGAGGAAAATGTCCTTTTGTTCGGGCTAAAATTTTTAGTCAAGTTTTGGGTCTTTGTGGAAGTATTTCATTATCTGTTTATTACATTATGTAGCAGTCATTATTTTTCATGCAAAAACTTTATTGAAATCTTTATTTTTTACTTTTGGTTTTATATAAAGGAAGGATTGTATATATGGAAGAAAATTATATAAAGATAATTTTTTAGATAAATTAATTTAATATATTAATAATAAATAATAATTTTAATTTCAAATATTAATAAATTAAACTATTAATATATTAATATAAATTAATTAATGTATTAATAGACTCGACATTGGGAAAAGGGGTGATCTTTGACTATCATTGACAACGATGGAGCTGAATATAAAAAAAATTCACAGAGCAACATCAACCACAACGATGACATTGAATAAATCTGCACTTTTTGTTAATTTATTAATTACTCATATATTTTAAAATGATTTATCATGAGTTATTTTACTAGTTTACATAAATGTTCTCTTGAATTTAATTGTTAAATACAAGTTTATTTTCATTAAATTAGTTTTACTTCAAAATAAAGCATTTACTATTTCTATAATACTATTCCTAAACTTATCTATTAGTATAAAAATAAAATAAGCTTTTTTTTCATCAAATGGTCATGGAAGTCCACCCAAAAAAATTAAGAGTGAAAGTGGTCCATCTGTAAAATAAAGGTTGTGAACCACTGCCATAGTTGGAGGAAGATATTATCAACATTTGCATTTTTCTACTTACTTTAATTTGTAATGTATATAAATGTAAGCTGACTAGTATTAAAGGATGAAAAAGTTTTGCAGATTTTGATGTCATTCAAGGGTCTTTGTTTTTCATCCAAATCTGTGAATTTGCTTTGCTCATGCTAAGTGTAATACAAAAGGTCCTTAGGTTATGTCAAGCTCGATGTATGCCGTTTCATGGTTATGGCGTCATTTCCCATAATATAATATGTTATCACGTGGTGCTATATGAGGAAGATGGCATTGTTTCCTCACCAGCTCTACATTATATTCGCTTGTGCTATATTTCCTATCTCTCATTTGTGTTGTCTTTTTATACTTTTTGGCCTCCATTATAGCTCTCATTTGTAAGGCAGACTCATGAGTGCTTATGGGATTACCAACCTATATCTCTCATTTGTGTTTTCAAATTTTTTTACTTTTGGCCTCCATTATAGCTCTCATCTCAATGTTGATATTTTCAGACTCATGTTATTAGTGCTTATGCAAATTGAATTTTTTTTATATCTCTCATTTGTGTTGTCTTTTTATACTTTTTGGCCTTCATTATAGCTCTCAAGTGTAAGGCAGACTCATGAGTGCTTATGGGATTACCAACCTATATCTCTCATTTGTGTTGTCTTTTTATACTTTTTGGCCTCCATTATAGCTCTCAAGTGTAAGGCAGACTCATGAGTGCTTATGGGATTACCAACCTATATCTCTCATTTGTGTTGTCTTTTTATACTTTTTGGCCTCCATTATAGCTCTCAAGTGTAAGGCAGACTCATGAGTGCTTATGGGATTACCAACCTATATCTCTCATTTGTGTTGTCTTTTTATACTTTTTGGCCTTCATTATAGCTCTCAAGTGTAAGGCAGACTCATGAGTGCTTATGGGATTACCAACCTATATCTTTCATTTGTGTGTGTATGTGTGTGTGTTTTTTTTTTTAACTTTTTTGCCCTTCATTATGGCCATGAGGTGTAAAGTAAACTCATAGATGCTTATGTATGCCTACATCAAAATTCAGGTTACATGTCACTGTAGGAACAGATCTCTGACCTAAGTCGAGGATGCCTGTATTACAACTCTGAGGAGAAGCTTATGAAGCATTATTTGACTAATTCAGCTTTAGCACTGAAAATGTTTATTTTATTAGAGTGGATTGTTACAAGCAAGAGATGAGATGTGTTTATTTTATTGCCACAAGCATTAGCTCTAATGCTTGTGGCAATTCTTTCGGCACACTGTTTTTTTTGTTTGTTTTATTTGTTTTGCTGGTACAAAGTTTAAAGATTGCAAAATGCATACCTATAGCTGGTGTGAAGTGGGGAGAAATGGATTTATATCTTTCTTAAGACTATATGTGCATAAGTTAATGTAATAAACTTGACTGGAATTCAAACTCAGCTCCTAGATTTCTTGTTCTGCACTGATATCCATAATGCCACAATGCATTTGTAAATATTTACAAATCAAAATGTAAGCAACCAATATTTACCTACCACCAAACCAAGTAAATGCATACTAACTCAAATATAAATGACCATTTTTTATCTATCCTTATACCAGGTAATATAGACTCAAATTTAAATATTTACCTATCCCTAAATCAAGTAAGTGCCTATCGAAAAAAATACACTTTGTAATTAACAATTCTGGGTAGAAGCTTATGAAGCTTTATTTGACTAATTCAGCTTTAGCATTGAAAATTTTTATTTTATTATAGTCTATGGTAACAAGTAAGAAGGAAGATGGGAAGTGTTTATTTTATTACCACACTAAGTATTGAAAAAATACAATAAAATTCACTATTTTTTATCCATAATGTTGAATGTGTTAGAATTATTCAACATTTTAATAAAAAAAATCTCAAGTTAATGTTAAAAATTGCTGCAAAACATTGTTGATTTATTTAAGATGGAATGATTTATTATGACATGTCTCTAATTTGTATTTAGATACATTGTATTAATTTTCAATTTTGAAATTGTTCACCTATATTGCATACTAGCAGTAGAGCCCGGCGTTGCCCGGGGATGTAACAGTAAGAGATAGATCAAGTATCGACCATCATAAAGACTGAAAAATAAAATTGACAAAGATTATTGTTTAAGGTTGACGGACACGCATGTCTTAATTATTTTTTTTTTTTTTTTTTTTTTGAATTGGTCAAACCCAAACTCAAACAAAAACATTTTTTCAATCGTTATGAGTCTATCAATTGAATAGAATTTTATTATAAACAATTGTCTTGTAAATGGAATTTTTAAAGCATTCTGAATGTAAAAATAAAGAAAAAAATGTGCAAGACAATAAGAAACACTACCAAAAAAAAAAAAGTGAAGTTTTGTTGAAATCAGTTGAAAAATGTAGAAAATCCGATCCCATATATAAACGAACACACACACACACACACAAACAACATGGGTTTTTATAAGTATAACTCGATATGAGTTGTCCCCCTTTCATTCTGGCAACAGAATCGTGTTTTCAAATTGATTTCGTGCAAAAACAATTGTGTTTTTCCAATTTTTGGTGCTATCAGAACCACCGCAAGGTAATTTTATGCAGTCCTGTGAAATTTTGTTGAAATCGGTTGAAAAATGTAGGAAATCCGATCCAATATATAAACGTACAGACATACACACACACACACACAATCTGCATTTTATAATAAGTAAGATGATCTGTTATTGTACATAATTAGATTACAATAAAATTTGTATTTTTTATGAATATTACCTTATGAAAATTGAAATGTATTAGAGTAGAGGAGTTGTTGACTGGGTGGAGGAGTATGAGACTCTTGCACCGGCCCTGTTTGTGATGTTCTAGAAAGCTTCATCAGTGATGTTTATTCCTAGTGTCAGGGAATTTTTAAATACATAGAAAAAAGTTTTCAGAGAATATATTTCTCTAAACATATCCAACCAATGTGATTTGGTCAATTCTTGGATATAAATTTTTTCTACCAGCAAGAAAAACTTATAAAAAAAAAAACAAATTTTTTTTCTGTTATTTTTTTAACAAAATTTGTTCAAATAAACATTGACTACCTTGATATACTCGATTTAAATATTTTCAACTGAAACCTTTCGTTTATCTTTCTTTTGCTCTATCTCCCCATGAAGAAATTTAATGCAATTTTCATACTTTTCCATCCCTACCCACTGTTTAACCTTTCACTTGCTGCTGAGGCTTACAGCTACAT